ATACATAATCAATATTGCTGGGTCCTCATGTGTGCTCAGCAAGCCCATGTCACTATACTTGATTCCTAGCTAACATTCTTAAAAAGAAAAAAAAATCAGCAAGCTGAGAGGTGGTGGTGCACACCTTTAATGCCAACACTCAGGAGACAGAGGCAGGTGGATCACTGAGTCCGAGACAGCTTGGTCTATAGAGTGAGTTCCAGGACAGCCAGGGCTATACAGAGAAACCCTGTCTCAAAAAAACCAAAACCAAAAAGAAAAGAATACCATCAGCAACCCTGCAGCTAGCGAGCTGGCTCAGTCATTAGGAGAGCGGCTGCTCTTACGGGATCCTAACTCCACCACTGTGGCAGCCCACAGCTGTCTGTAACTGATGGCCTCTTCTGGCCTCTGTGGGCACACAAGTGGTGCACCAACATACATGCAGAGAAAACACGTATACAGATAGTTTAAAACATTAAATGAAACTTTACTGTGTTTGCCTGTGTGAGTGTGTATTTGGTCTTTTGCTGGCCTGGAGAGGAGTTCGCGTTACAGATGGTTGTGTGGCATGTGGCTGGGGGGACCTGGACTTGGGGTCTCCTACAAGAGCAGCACGTGCTCTTAACACTGAGCCGTCTCTCTGGCCCCCAGTACTTTTTTGAAGATGAGCATCCGCTTGAGTTTCACTATTGGTCTTTCTTTTCATGCTCCTAGTATTTTCTTACTCTTCCCTGTCCTGTCAGAGTATGCATTTTTATGTGTTGGGGATGAATGACCTAAAAATAAAAAGTCAATATTGTCTCAGATACCTATTTTATGTAATTTTTTTCCCTGAGATCAGCATTCTGTGTGGGCCTGTCTGTCCTGGAACTCAATCTGTAGATCAGGATGGCCTGGCACTCAGAGATCCCCCTGCCTCCACCTCCTGAGTGCTAGGATTAAAGGCATGTACCACCACTGCCTGGCTTATTCTCTGTATTTAAATTTTTTTAATTTGTATTTGATATTCATGAGTGTTTACTTGCATGTGTGTGTGTATGCACCACATGTGTCCCTGGTGCCTGTGGAGGTCAGTAGAGGGATGGATCTCCTAGAACTGGGGTTACAGATGGTCGTGGGTCACCACATGGGTGCTGGAGATAGACTTCAGGACCTCTGGAAGAGCAACCAGTGCTCTTAACCACTGAGCCAGCTCTCCTGCATCTCTTGAGATTTTTTTCTTACATTTATTTGTGTGCGCACAAATGTGCACATGCCCACTGAGCACGTGGGGGGCAGAAAACGACTGTGGGAGTCAGTTCTCTCCTTCCACCATGTGGGTCCTGGGGTTTGAACTCAGAACCTTGGACTTAGTAGCAAGTACCTGTACCTAGTAAGCTACTCTCTGACTCTAGATTGCTAATTTTTTAAAGGAACTTTTGGAAAATATAGAAGAGGCCAAAAATGCATAAATCTTGTCTGATGGGGGTAACAGTTTAGTGTATCCTCTGGCATGTACATGTTCATATACAGTTGTAAAGACCTGAAGCCCATGCACGTATTTACTGTTTAGAACTTGGATATAATCTTAGCTTCCCAAATGTCAGTCCAGGGCTCTTTGCATGAGGATTGCCTGAGGATCCTTCTGGAAATGTCAGCTCTTGCAGCCTCCCATTGAGAAAGTCCAACTCATAGTTTAGAGATGCTGACACAGTGTCAGACCTAGGCTCCCACTTGGGAACCAGCTTCAATGGTATCTTTTCACGTTTCTTCTCCATTACTGACGGTGACTGTACTTTCTATGATTCCGGAAGACTAAGTGGTCCTTTTCTCTTTCCAGGAAAAGAGGGGGAACAAACCATCTGATAAGGCCACCCTGCTGGCCTTTGATGCCCTGGTGACCTTCTGTGAAGAAGTGGGGTAAGTGGGGCTAGGGGTGTGACGTAGCCACTCACTGGTGGAGCATCTGTCTGACAGGAGCAGGGCCCTGTGGTTAATCTCAGCATTGTTTCCCTGCTCCTCGAAGGGAAGAAAGGTCAGTACTTCTATTGGATGTGGAAGAATGTCAGGTCATGTCCTCTCCCAACAGCCCTCACTTTATCAGCTAGTACAAGCTAGCCCTTGGGCCACCAAGGGACCCCTGCTTGCAGAGCAATTTCAAGCAATGTGGAAGTCAGGGCCCTTCCATTTTATTTTATTTTATTTTATTATTTTATTTTATTTTATTTTATTTTATTTTATTTTATTTTTTTCTCTGGAGTCCCCTGAAACTCTGGCTCTCCTATGTGAGGATTTAGTTCATGCTGGGATAGGCATCACTCGTCTGCCTACTTCATGGCAGCCTGGATCTGTGAGCAGTTCCCTCCAGAGTAATGGGATCAGCTCTCAACCATTGGAGCTGGCACTCAGAGCACTTGAGTCAGGCCGTGCTATTTTGTTTGCTTTTGAGATGGAGTCTCCTATAACCTAGGCTGGCCTCCAACTTACCACATATCAGGGGCTGGCCTTTGACTTTGGGTCATCCTGGCTGTGTCAGGATCACAGGCATGTGTCACCACACCTGATGAGCCCAGACAGAAGCTTGGGGCCCACTCATCTCTAGTGGTAGTAGTAGAGGGTGGCACTGCTTTGGATAAATTAGCTTTTCTAACAATACACCAGCCTGTTTATGTGGACCCTACTTGTGTATTTGTCTACATCTGTGGCAGTGGGGTGAGAGCTTTGGGCCAGCCGTGGAGAGACTGTTAGCTTTTCAGTGACAGGCTGTGGCTGGGCATGTAGTCGTTAGAATTCTGTGTGAGGATGCCCAAGGAGTCAGTGTCTGTGGAAAAATACACTCCTCCTTCTATGTGGAAAAATCCTGAGAGCTGACAAGGCCTTTGACTCAGACTTCGAGATGAATAAGCTAAGCCCCAGACAGGTCATGGTCATAGAACTCACGACGGAAGCTACTAAACTTGGGCTTCTTGATTATCACAGTGGATATGCCATTTCATACATATGTTATCTTAGGTTTTGCAAGAGAAGTGTCTTTGGTCGAAGAGGGGATGTCTGCTTTTGTGGTGTTAAGGATTGAACCAGAAATTCGAACGTGGTATACAAGCCCTCTACCCTTGAGTTACACTCCAGCCACAAATATTCTCATCTTGAAGCCGAGTGCCAGTGACAAGTACATAGAACTAGTGTATACAAGATATACTTAGGCTCTCCTGCAAAGAGGAAGAGGTCCTGCTGATCTGGGTTCTACATTTGGACGCTCAACTTTCTCCTATTCATTGATTGAAGTATTTCCTTCTGGAAATGGCATCTCTAATCTGGTTTCTGTGGCCAGATCACATGTAAAATGTGGTGGGTTGCTATGCCAGGCTCCCTTGGTTAAGGCCATACCAGCAAAGCCTTCTCCGGCCACTGGTACATGAATGTACTAAATTCAGCCTCCTCAGGCTCTGAGCAGAGCTCCTTCTGGTGAGGAATGAAAGAGCCAAGTATTACGGCTGTCTCTCTCCTCTGCAAAAAATCTTGGTAGGTTCTTGTCTGAGACCAGAGTGCTAAAACCTGCTATGCCATAGAACAGATGCAACTTGGGGCCTCTGCCTTTCTTTCTTCTGGGTCTTCTCAGTACCTTCGTAGGCCAGTTGGAAGTGTACATTCTGGGGCTGAGAAGTCCAGGTGATACATCCCCAGTGTTCAGCCTCACCACCTATCCTGATGGCTACAGGCGAGGTTTGGAGTTCGAGATTCCCAGGTCTTGGGTGAAGTTAACCTTGCTGGCACATCTCTGCTACCATTCTTTACATGAAAGAGAATGTTCACTGTGTGGACAGTATATGCATGAAGCAAGAAAGCCTCTTCAACAGAAGGTTGTTTCCTTTCTAAGAATAGTTCTTGTTTGAGGCTAAGTTGAGGTAACACCAGCATCCCTTAAGACAGGCACCTGGCGGGGTGAGGTAAGGCTAAGTGAGTACATTTCTAAAAGGAAGCTGTTGTGGGGGTGTGTAGGGTGGGATTTGGCACTGGGCTGGGATCACTAGAGAAAGTGTTCAGGTCCATTCCAAATAAGGCTGGGTGGGAGAGCCAGTGGTCTTTAGCATGTCTCCTCCATGTAGCCATTTTCTCTGAGCTGCAGGCACAAAGAAACCTGTTCATGGCAGGACTTTAACCTTGTAGTTATTAGGCATTGAAGTAACCTCTGGACATTTTAAGACACAAGAGGAGCTCTCCGAGCTGGCCTGTGCAGAGGTGGCTTGTGGGAGCTCTGGACTAAGGAGCTAAGCTGCTCAGCCCCGTCCGGTTTAGCCACTCGTGTGCCTGTGTCTTCACTCTGCCAAGTGCACCGATGATGGGGCTTTTATCTCCTTAGGAAATGTATAATTAATTAATATATATAATTAGTTATATAAAATGTCTCATGTGTACACTTTGAAGAAAAAGTACATGGTGGGGTATTTTTCTTATTTTGTGTACAGATGTTTTGCCTGCGTCTTTATCTTAGTACCACATGTGTGCCTGGTGCCCACAGAGGCCATAAGAAGGCATCATTTCCCCTGCAACTGTAGTTACAAATAGTTGTAAGCCACCACACATGGGTGCCATGGATCAAACCAGGGTCTTCTGCAAGAGCTGCCAGTGCTCTTAGCTGGTGAGCCGCCTCCCTAGCCCAGTATAGTATTGTTTTGAGAGTAACAGAATGCCCTATCCCAGTCTCGGGGGTCAGTGTCAGGGAGAATGTATTTGGAAAGGCGGGTTTGCACTGAGACTTTGAAGGATAAGAGAGCAGTATTCAGGCCACAGAGAGTGAGGAGGTTTGAGATAAAGTATCCTAGTCAAGGAGGATATATGCCAGCGCCTCAAGGGCCTGCCGCAGAGCGCCGAGGAACGGAAGGTCCTGTGGTGAGCCTGGGGCACATGGCAAGCAGCTCCTGAGACTGACTCTGCTGTTACAGGGTCAGACCCTGGAGGACTTGTAGGCCTTGGTGAGGCTGCTAGAGAAGCTAGCATAGAGAAGGACCATGCCTGCACAGAAGATGAGCTCACGGTAGTGGATCGGAAAGGAATTTTTACTTCATTTGACATTTCGTGTCCTTCTCTGTCAAGGACTTGGAAATAGCTGCTTGGGCAGGGACCCTCCTCAGAGGATCTTGTTAGCCATTGCTGCTCTCGTCTGAGGCAGAGCAGAGCTGCTCTCCATGTGCTTACAGTGTTGAGCTGCTGGCAGGGTGAGAGACCAGAAATGGTACCAGACCAGCCTTCTCACCTGGCTAACTGATGAACCCTAGGCAAGGTCCAGTGGTGCCCATAGGTTCTTTCTTGAGCCAGAGGGACTGGACGCCCACTGCTGGTAGGGTGAGCAGGCCAGTCGGTCTCTCCCTGCTGCCTTCTAGGCCCCCGGGAAGACAGGTCACTCCTCTTCATACAGAGCCTTTCTCCATGCAGCCTTTTCCACATACCCAAACACAACAGCAAATAAGATGAGGAACAGGAACGCGGAGGTGAACAAGCAAACCACTATCAGGCCCCCCACATCCCACGGGTTCTTCCAGAAGTCTTCATTCTGGGTGCTCCTTGGGGATACCATTTGGCCCATGGAAATCTGGAAGAGAGGAGACAGAGACCTTGAGTGCAGAGAGCTCTGAAGCCCTTGTCCCTAGTGGTGCTCCCATGACACCTCCTGGACAGCCGGACACAGCCAGCTAGCCAACACTGCGGGGATGGTGAGTCTTTGGATTCAAAGTCTCTAACATCAAGAAACGGGAACTGGAGTTTCCTGCTCGGAAGCTACTGGGGGCTGCCTCCAGAGTCTCTGGCTCATTCTTGAAAACTCTGCTGTGAGCCAGAATATTTCTGCTGCTCCTGAGGCCTTTCTAGCTAGACCTGGAATGCACACCTGTAGGCCTCCTCTCATTCTTTTTTTTTTTTTTTTTTTTTTTGGTTTTTTGAGACAGGGTTTCTCTGTGTAGCCCTGGCTGTCCTGGAACTCACTCTGTAGACCAGGCTGGCCTCGGACTCAGAGATCCGCCTGCCTCTGCCTCCCAAGTGCTAGGATTAAAGGCGTGTGCCACTACCGCCCGGCTCTCCTCTCATTCTTAGTGTCCCAATTCCCAGATGTTTGGGAGGCGTTTTGAGAGCTTGGTATAGCAGCCTAGCTGGGTGATGGTGTACTTAAGTCTCAGCTCCTGTGAATTCCTGCTTGAGCCCAGGAATGCAAGCCAGCTGGGAACAGAAAATCCTATCTCAAAAAAAAAATAGAAGTGCGGCTGGAGACATAGCTAGCAGTTAAGAGCACTGGCTGCTCAGCTCACAGTCTTCCACAGGGCCAGTTCTGGGGCACTGACGCCACTTTTAGCCTCTGAGAATACCAGCAATGCATGTGTAGATATGAAACATGTAAGAAGAACACACACATAAATCTTTTTTAAAAAGTGTTGGCAGCAGATAGGAACAAAGCGTGGCTGAGGCAGTCGTGTCCTTGGAGACAGCGGAGAGCAGGAGGCCCCGCCATGTTATGGACGTGGAGCTGGTGTCAGTGAGGAATGGAGGAAGAAGAAAGATGTTATTACCTGGTTCTTCTAGCAATAGTTCCGAGTCTTCTGAGGGCAAGGCAAGTCAGGATTGTCCTTCCGGCTTCAGACTTTGGGGTTCCTGGGTGGAAGAGGCTGCCAGGTGACCACAGCTATGCCCCAATTCAAAGAAATTACTGTTGGCAGCCCAGGGTGTTGCCAAATACTCTGACCACACCTTTGCTGCCGCCACCAGAGCAAACAAGGGTGGGCTAGACTGGTTGCCTGGCAACTGCCACTCCCTCCCTCATTCCCTCCATCAGGGTTCTGCCCTTCTGTGATGGCATTGGAGGAGTTGACTTCTAAGTCCTTGAGAGAGGGCAAACTTAGAGGGAGAAAAGAGGTTGGGTCTGTGCCCCAGGCTGCCTGTCAGCCTCGCTGATGTGAGCTCGGCTTAGACCCCCATCCAGAACTCACGGCTCACTGGGAGCATTCCTTCCTTCCTGTGGTGTGGGTGAATGATTACCTGCAGTTCTGGCAGGAGCCTCCTGGAACAGGTTTCTGGGTAAGAGTGGGAGCGCTTACCAGACAGAGCTTTTCCCCAGTGCCTGCCTGGGGCATGACCTCTGCTGTTTCTGTGGTTAGAGAGACACTGGGGGGGGGGGGCAGTGACCACACATGCCTTGCTTGGAACTTGACGGCCACTGTGGACTCCTTTCAAAGTGTAGGCATGTGGGCCTGCCATAGCCAGGATTAGGGGCCGTTGTAAGATGAGAGAGACGGGCCTTCCCCTCTGAAGAGCTTACTTTCTAGTCCACAGCTCATCAATTCTGCTGTCAGTTTTGGGAAACGCTCACTTAATATCAGTTTCTGGGAGGCCAGGGTATCATTCTAATCCTCTGAGGTACAACCTGGAGTGGCCGACAGGTGATGAGCAAGTTCAGGAAAATGTTCTCTCAGGGGCTGAAGTGACCCATGGGTCACCTGCTGCTTGCATTTCCTTGTGTAAAACTCATTGACTTCCTGGACTGCCAAATGCACACAGCCAGCAGGCTGGACTCTGGCACACCCTGGTGTGTTTGTGCCCGTCAGTTAAAGGAGGTTCTTATCAAGAGTCAGTTGTTTGTTCCCAGACTGGTTTATAGCAGTTGTGCTTGTTTCCATGATCACAACGTTGAATGTGACATCGTATAAACAAATGAAGCAGTAATGACAACCACCACTCCAGTTTTACATCGAGAGAACAGACAGAGAGGTTAAGCAACTTACAGTTGTACAGCTGGTACAGTTGGGGTTTGGAGCCAGCTGTACAGTCTGAGCTCTCAGGCCCTGTAGCTTAGAGCAGAAAGACAGCTGTTGTCTCTATTAATACTTACGTGACCACTGTGGTGTCACATAGTCCCCCCGAAACAATAGAAACATAACTAAACTTTGGCATATTCTGTAAAACTCGTGATATTAAATTTTTTTATACATTTGTGTGTGTGTGTGTGTGTGTGTGTGTGTGTGTGTGTATGTGTGTATACTATGGCCTCTGTGTGAGGGGAAAGGATAGTGGACAACTTGTGGGAGCAGGTTTCAGGAACTGAACTCAGGTCTTCAGGTTTGGTGGCAAGTACCTTTACCCACTGAGCCATCTTGCTTGACCCTCTCTGGTGACATTTTATACTCAGTTTCTTTTGCAGGTGTGTTCAAACTCTTGCTCTAATGAAACCAAAACTACAAGGTAAAGGCTCAAGCTGAGCTGGGCAGCAGCCCCTCCTCAGACTAACCCACCCACGAGGGGCCCCCCGTCCCCACCTCAGAGGTACATAGGCTGGAGGGACAATTCAATGCTAGGAGCACTTGTTGCACTTTCAAAAGACCCTGGTTCAGTGCCCAACACTCACGTCAGGTGGCCACAACTCCCTATAATTCTAGATTCAGGAGACCTAACACCTTTGTCTGGCCTCTGAAGGGACCAAGCATTTATACATAAACATAAAAGATTAATAAATCTTTAAAAATACAAAAGAAAACACAGCTAGGTGTGTTAGCACACACCTTTAATTCCAGCACTCAGGAGGCAGAGGCAGGTATGTCTCTGAGTATGAGGCCAGCCAGGTAGGTCTACATAGTGAATGCCATGTCAACCAGAGATACAGACTGAGACCCTGTCTCAAAACAACAAGGACTGAAGAGATGGCTCAGTGGATAAGAGCACTGGTTACTCCTCCAGAGGTCCTGAGTTCAATTCCCAGCAACCACATGGTGGCTCACAACCATCTGTAATGGGATCTGATGCCCTCTTCTGGTGTGTCTGAAGACAGCTACAGTGTACTTATATAAATTAATAAACCTTTAAACAACAACAAAAAAAATCAGGTCTGTAGAGAGAAATGTGTCATTCATAGGAGAGTTGCTTGGTCTAACCTTTTTAATACTTTATTTTTATTGTATGTGCATGGGTGCTTTGCCTGCATATATGTCTGTGAGGATGCCATATTCCTTGGAACTAATGCTACAGTTGTGAGCTGTCCAATGGGTGCTGAGAATTGAACCTGGATCTTTTAAAAGAGCAGTCAGTGCTCTTACCCACTGAGCCATCTCTCCAGCCCTTGTCTAGTCTTAAATAACGCTGTACCCAAGTAGATGTATTGTCTCAGTCACTGTGAAGAAATAGATGCTTACATGAATGTAGGCAAACATACATATAAAAACACATTTTAAAAAAGACTGGCAGTAGGGACAGCATTCCATGGCGTGAACCAGGGCCCAAAGAAGAAGAGAACATTTCTAGGACAAAATTGATCTGTGTGCATATTTTATGATATGAAATTTATAGTACTCATTTGTGTCAGTATGATGATTTTTTTTTATAAATTGCTTTCAAAATATTATTTCACAAAATTTGTCTGTGTTCTGCCAAGTGCTGCTACCGTGGTTCTTGTCTTGGTTTTGCAATAAGGCATAAAATTCAGGCAATGAAGTGTGCAGATCTCATCCTTCTGAGGAACTGAGAATAGACAGTGCTAGAACAGAGGCCATGTGAAAGGGAAGGCTTGGGGAAGCTGGTAAGGCCACTGTGGACTGAGGTGGCTTGCTCTTGAATGGCAAAGGACAGTGACAGTCAGTTGGCCCTTCCCTCAGTTCGATGCATTCTGCTGGATGCTTCTTCTGTGGTCACCAGCAATCTTCTGACAGCCCAGGTCATCAGTGACTATTTCTGTTTCCCACCATGGAAGACATCTGCCTCCTCTCCAGTTAGGTGAGCTCAGTCTGTCCATCCCTGAGTATGTCAGGCTGCTGTTGGTTATCTTATAGGATGGGCTGTCCTAGCACAGGGCTGGAATGTGCAAGAGAAGTGGTTTCTTGTGCTATCTCCAGGGTGGTCCATGGTACCCACTGTTCTGCAGCTAGACTAGGAACCAGAATCTAAAGAAGAGGCCTCAGTCTTAGCCACCCTACAGGAAGGCTGTTCATGATGCTAATGAAATCCTGCTTAAAAAAGAGTCTGGAAGGAACTGGGCCCCTGAACCAAGGGCTTCCAGGGACCTCCAACCAACAGTGGTGGGAATGAAGACTTCAGGGTTTCCAGTTCCCTCTCCTGTTCCTGGGGCTTTCTTCTGATGCCTGGTTGAGCCCTGTACCGGTCCTCAGCTGCTAGAGCCTCCCCACCACCCCACACACAGAAGCAATCTGGAGGCAGGGTTTGGGTGTGGGAGTTTGGATGTAGGGTTAGTCAGTAGAGATAATGAAGTCAGAACCTTCTGTCTTGTGTCCAGAGGCCTCGAGCCCTAGGTGTGATAAGCAGGGGCACTGGAACCAGGCAAGCTGGCTTTGCCACTTTTCAGCTGGTCACTCAGACTTAACGTCCCTGTCTGTCCATGGAACAATGATGGCATCTACAGGACTGAAGCATCGTGATCGCTAAATGAACATATCTGTGACATAATGCTCAAGACAAGAGCAGGGTTTGTGGAGCATGCCTGTAATCCCAGCACTGCAGAGGCAGAGGACAGCCAGGAGTTAGGTGCCAAAGGATTCTCCATCCCAAGTTCCAGCCAGGGCTACTTAGTGAGATTGTCTTAAAAAACACACACACACACACACATACACAACCAACAAAAAAATAAGAGGCTGGAGAGATGGCTCAGCGATTGAGAACACTGGCTGCTCTTCCAGAAGACCCAGATTCAGTTCCCAGCACCCAGTCCCAGGGGATCCAACACCCTCACACAGATGTACATGTAGGAAAAACACCAATGTAATGTATACAGTTTCCAGTCTCTTTAATAAAAAAGAGCAGGGGGTTGCTGGTAGTGGCACCCACACACCTTTAGTCCCAGCACTCGGGAGACAGAGGCAGGTGGATCCTTGAGTTTGAGGCCAGCCTGGTCTACTGAGTGAGTTTTGGGGGAGCCAGGGATAGCTAGGGCTGTATACACATAAATCCTATCTGGAAAACCAATAAATAGGAACAAAGAGAAGCTGGGCACGTCTCCTGTGATCTCACACTTGAGAGGCTAATGTCAGCCTCATGAGTTGGAGCCTAGCTTAAGATAACCTCCAGGGTCTGGGGACACAGCTCATCGGAAGACCACGTGCAGAGTTGTCAAAATCTTCTGGCTTCATTCGCAGGCACCACAGAAAGAGTTAAAGGCAGCACCGTGAATTTTAGCTTCTTCACTTTCGTCATTCAGGCTTTGTTGGTGGTAGTTTGCGGTTTTGTTTTTGAGAAAAGGTCTTATATAGCCCTGGCCAATTGGAACTCACATCAGTCCACCTGCCTCCGCCTCCGAGTGCCAGGATTAAAGTAAGGGCCTGTTCCACTCTGAATCCCAATTTTTAGGGGCCATGGACAGGTGGATTCTTAGATCTCTTTTCTTTGTTTGGAATCACTTTCTGGTCCTCCAAGAACCCAAACCTGTCAGGCAACTCTAGACAGCAGGTAGTCAGACCAGCCTGTGAGAACTGGCTCCTGGATGGACTAGGTTGCCAGCTAGAGGTGACAGGGGCTGACGTCCCCTCTGTGTGACAAGTCTTCAAGGTAGGCAGGCTCTGCTCCCAAGCTAGCAGAATGTGTGCTGCAGAGACTGGGGGTCAGAAGTGAGTGGTGAGTGAGAGCCTTCGATGGAGCGAGAGCCCAGGCCTGGTCCTGTTGACATGTATGTACTCACATGTCTGGCCCCCTCCGCCACAGTTAGGTTTGTAGCTGTGTATCTGGAAGAAAGTGACCTGGGGGAGGGGAGGGAGGTAGCATGAAAGCCTCTCTGCAGCACTGTTCTTTAAAATGGGCCCGTGTGCTCTGGTTAGCCCTGCTTAGGGAGGTGGGTGACGACAGGTCATGATTACAGAGTCCTAGAGCAAGCCCAGCATGGTTAGACTTGGGCTGTCTTGCTCTGTACTAGCATAGCCCAGGAAGCAGGTGCCACGATTAGTCATCTGACCAGGAGGAAGCCTAGCTTAAGAGGATTGGTCACAGAGCTGGCACGTGTCAGCTGAGGGTGTGTGAGCAGAGTCCAGACAGCACACAGTAGGAACAGGACCAAAACACCAAGGTACAGGAGTGATGGTCAGTACTTAGAGCCTTACCTTTCTTCAACTGCAGACATTTGGGGGGGGGGATTCAGTGACTGCTAGTGTGAGGTCTGCAGATGGAATTTAAGACAGCAGGAAATGTTAAGAGACATCCATGGGCCTACCACCTATCTCAGGGCAGCAGCCTCCATCACTCTACAGAGTAGGGGTCTGGCAGCCAGCACGTGACAGATGATGCAAAACAGGAATGTTTTCAGTGTCCCCCCTCTGGTTCCATGGCCTTGTCACCCTGGTGACATTCCTCCTGTGTGATTTTCCAGCTTTCATGGGCACACAGAGCAGTAGCCCAGAAAGAACAGCCAACTGCCACGCCACTGGAATTCCGGTACTGCCCTCCTTTTACACAGAGCCCAGCCAAACCTCACAAACACATAACCAGAAAGTGTTTACTTGGAAATAAGCAGACAAATTTCAGCCAGAATACTGACATGCTCCTCCCCCTCAGCAGGAGGCTTAGAGTCTAATAAATTGCACAAAGTCACTGATTAGCTTACTTCTCTGTGGCATAAGTCAGCAGAGCCCCAAGAACCAGCTCCCCACAAGCATCAGCTGCTCCCTGCTGAAGTATGAGGCTCTTGAAAGGCTCAGCTTAGCCCAAGACCCAGGTGGTGGTCTGAGTGTGACAGTCAGCTAGCTAAGCACTGTGTCCACCAGCAGATTGAACGACACTTGTTTCCTTCATAAGGCTCCAGATGTCTGTCCTGTCACCTGGGCAGTGCCAGAACTGGGCCTAGGTAACCTGTGTCTGGAGGAGTAAAGCGGCCATGATGCTAGCCTGTATCACAGTCCTGGAAGGCCCTCATCCAGCTTCTCTTCAGGCATCTCGCTGTTGTCCCTCATCTGGGTTTTCTGGGCCGCACCGGGATCTCCCGGTCTCTCCTCTCAGAGCAGCAGCAGTGAGCACAGCAGCAGCTGCAGGCTATCAGCAGCAGCACCAGGACGGTAGCTGAAGGAGAGAATGGCCCAGAGCTGAAAAGCCAGGGAAAGAAGTGATGCCCACCCTCCTTCTGGAGAATCTCCCTCCGCCCCCTGAAGGACTGGAAAGGCTGAGGGTTTGTTGTTTCTTGCTCTTCTGGCCCCTGACTCCTTCTGACTCCTTTCAGTTCATGGCTGACACCTGGTGGTTTCCAGTTCCCAGCACTGCCTAGCAACTTAGGCAATGTCAGAGGATGTGGCAATCCCTTAGCATCCCCTGGGACACTGCTTTTCCTCCTTATCTGAACGAGACTCGCCAGCCTTCCAGCTGGCACCTTGTGTTGGTGTCCCAGGTATTGGAAAGAGCCTATGGGACACTGAAGGGACAGAGCTCAAGGGTCAGGGACAGACGCCCCACTTGCCTGTGAAAAGAGCGATGATGGAGAAGGCCACGAGCTCCACGGGCTCCGCCTGAGGGAGTTGTTGCAGTTTCAGCAGCAGCCTCTCTCCCACAGAACGAATCTCCTCCACAAAGTCTGTGGCTGACATGTTGGTAGGGCTCCTGCCCGGCTATAACAACAGAGACAGTGAGAAGCCTAGAGTCCCTGTCGAGCTGCTCACTGGCTGGGAGGTAGCTCCGGTGAACCAACCTCTCCCACCATAGCCTGCAGAACAGGTTTGTCTGTCTCAGCCCTGTACCACGGGTGCATCCCAGGCAGAGGGAAACAGGGAGTCATGGAAGTCTGCTCAGTGGTAGCCCTCAGCCCACACCTGGCTGGAGCTACCCTAGGCAAAGGAACCTTGTTATAATCGTGACCTGGAAAGAGCCTCTAAGGGGCTATCAGGCAAGGCTGCAGTTGGTGAAGGCTCTGACCATCAGATGTTATGACTGTACTGTTACATTCCTTTGTCTTGAGACACCAGCACCAGGTTTTGCTGGGATGCCTCAGCAGATACAGTTCCTTGGCCCGCCTCTGGTTTTTTCGGGTGCCTCCCTTAGATGCCCTCAGGGGGACAAGACAGGCGTTAGGATTCTGTGTGGGCGGAGAGTCAGACTCTAAGAACAGGTTCATGAGGACTCGAGCTGGGATCAGCTGTAGGTAAAAACGGAGGGAGGGCTTGTGGCTTGAAGGACATGAAGGTGAGTCCCCAAGAAACCACCCCGTTCTCCTCCCAAGCCAAGGTCTTCACTCATTACTGTCATGTAAGCAAGAAAGGACCACACAGTATTCCTGGAGGCCTCATTTATCCAGATGGGGGCAGGAGTTCTAGGACTGGCTCAACCAAGCCTTCCCCTCCTGGCCTGGGCCTGTTCTGTTATAACCAGAAGGGCTCCTGGAGAGAGCCTAGGCAAAGTTCTCAGCAGTTTCCATTGAGGCCCACAGAGTATAAGTGCCTCCTCCCCTCACATCTGTCCCGTGAGTGAGAAGAACAGGGACAGTCTTATACTCATGCATCCAAACTGGTTCTTCCTGAGGGATGGGAGCACGTGACCATGGGCATGTGTCTCTGATGATTGCCACCTCGGCCCTGGTCTCAACCAGGCAGGTAGTTCCTTCTGCGGTGGTGTGTGACACTGGTCACTCCTGGCACAAAGCAGGTCTAAAGCTACCCTGAAGGTCATGTGATAGGGTCATCCTGCATGTGTGCTCTCTCTCTGCCCGTGTGTTGTGCAGCCTCTGAGAGAGAGCAGCCTGCTGCCTCTAGCTGCCCAGTGTAGGCCAAGCCCTTTGAGACCTCCCCCAAGTCCTCCTCCTCCTTCATGTAGGCCCTGCTGCTGCCCTTCTCCCCTAATAGTTCTTCAGGAACTGGACCACAGCTGCCAAACATTTGAATTTCCTTTCTATAAAGTACATGCTGCCTTCTCTGAATTTGTTGTATGTTTAGTTTAGTTTTAATTTTTGTGCTGCCAAGGGAATGGACTCTGGGATCTTTCTTATACCAGGCAAATACTGTAGCATGGAGCTACATTCCAGTCATGTGGTACCTTCTAACTTCATCTCGCCTTCATAGAACTGCTGCAGTCATGCTGTCTCAACCCCTCCCCCTCCTGGGCCGTGGACACTGGAGGCTCCTTATCTCTGTGCTGTAAGTGGAGACGAGAAGCCCTAGGGAGTGGCCTGGCTCCAGGAACTTTCTCTGAGTGGGGCCTGACAAGTGCCAGGAAAGACAAGGATGGGCCTAACCAGTGCCCCTCCCGCTGCCCATGTGTCTTGATAGAGGCCTGCCTGACTTTGTTCAAGAATCAGGCCGTAGCGATTTGGAAGCCTGTGGGCTGAGCACAGCCAATACCACCGCTTGTGGGACTGGGGCATTGATTTTTATCAGTTCATCATCAGCAGAGTGGGACACACCAGGCTTTTTGAGAACTGCACGCATTGTCACTAAAGGCACAGATCGGCCGGGCGGTGGTGGCGCACACCTTTAATCCCAGCACTTGGGAGGCAGAGGCAGGTGGATTTCTGAGTTCGAAGCCAGCCTGGTCTACAGAGTGAGTTCCAGGACAGCCAGGGCTATACAGAGAAACCCTGTCTAGAAAAACCAAAAAAAAAAAAAAAAGGCACAGATCTATGTGTCCTGCTGTTGTGAACCTAAGACTGTTCCTTCTGGTGAGACCAAAGGAGACACTGCTTCTAGCCAGTTGGAACATGTTTACCAAAGGACAGTAATCTTTTTGCTCTCCTGCCCTGGGACCTCTGTAACATTCCTATCCCCTAAAAAATAGTGTGCCTAGGGTTGAGAACCAGGGCTGCTGTTTCTTAACCCTCCCTCTTCATCTATGTTTGGTCTGGCTTGTTCAGCCTGACTGGCACTGTGCCCACATTGCTTCATGAACCCAATGGAGACACTCCTTAAAAGCAGAAGCAGGCAGGAGGTTGGTGGTCAGGAGAGCTTTCTCCATTGTGTGCCACACCCTAAGACCAAGAAAGGGGGGGGCAGAGGTTGGGGGAAAGAGGCACCAGCTTTGTCAGGGTTGGTGAAGTTGGGTCTAGCTGAAGGGTCTAGCAATATCCAATTCCCAGAGCAGGAAGAAGGCAGAAGGCTGGGGTGGGGCCTGCTGGGCAGGATAGTCAGGATTTGTTGATCAGAAGGTCCAGCTATCAGAGTTACTCCCAGCTTCTCTCGTGTTTTCCCTGTGCCTTTCTCCACTATTCTCTGCATTCTGCATAGCTCGTGAACTGCAGGCTTGGACCGTGTGCACCTGAGCTTTTCTCTGTAAGAATGTGAACCACCTAGTGTGGGCCGCCCCATAACTTTGTGCTCTGGGCTTCTATAGTCAGGCCCACTGGAAGCCAGGATGGGACCAGGCCAGCCTTGGGATGGGACCTGGGGTGTTAGGTCTTGTCTCCTTTACCAGCAGAAGCAGGGCTGCAGAGTATGGCTCTGCCCTCAAAAGGGCCGAAGAAGAACCCTTTTTGCTTGGCATTTGACGTTTTGTTATTTTAAGCTCTGACCCAACATAGCAAGCACATGTCAGAGGGGGGAGCAAAGGGGTCTTGTTCTCCAAAGAGGAAAGAGGCACATTCCAGCAGGTCTCCAGGCATCTTCCCAGTGGGCTATTTAAAGCAAAGCCAACAGACACTTAGTGCCCAGTGACAACCAGGGGTTGTCAGGTGACCTCGTTCCCCAGCCATAGTCAGGGGTAGAGGGAGCTCTGGAGCTGGCCCCCATTGACTAGATACCCCCCAGGTTTGGGTGAAGCCAAACAAAGCTACTGGTAATTTTGTGTTTCCTGGATGATCAGTCCCAGGTTCACACAACTATTTCTAAACCATACTTTATGCCCCAAAACGGAGAACTAGAGTCTCTCTTTTTTTTTTTGGTTTTTCGAGACAGGGTTTCTCTGTGTAGCCCTGGCTGTCCTGGAACTCACTCGGTAGACCAGGCTGGCCTCGAACTCAGAAATCCGCCTGCCTCTGCCTCCCGAGTGCTGGGATTAAAGGCGTGCGCCACCACCGCCCGGCTTAGAGTCTCTCTTAACACCATGTTTGGTAGAGCAAATGGTAGCTTCCTCTGGTCCAGAAAGGGAGAACAGGCTTGGCTGCCACTGAGCCCACCTGCTGCCCAGGCTGCTTGTGCAGCAGATGTGAAACAACCTTCTGTGGGTGTTCCACAGACAGTGGTCAGAGAGACCTAGCACAACAGACAAGGAAACTGGCCGAGCTAGGGGACTGACTGATGTTCCAGAGTGTGGCATGTGACATAGGGGTCCTTACTCTACAGTAAGTAAGTGGCTGTCCTGTAGGCCAGACAGCTGCAACTCGGTACCACAGCTTCCCTACTTCCTCTTTGTAAACTTGATCATCCAACTCCAGCTCCCCACGTGGATGAGGGCAGGCAGTGTGTCTGTGCCTGATAACGGTGTCACCGATGACTGGCTCTATCCTGATGTTTGTCATGGGGGCTCTCGGCCACTTTTGTCCTGTTGAGGATCTCAAATGAGACGTAACCAACAGATGTGAGAGACGTGAGGGGTCAGAGGCCTGACCAGCAGGGCGGAGATGCCCACTGTGTGCCCTGCTGAGGATTTGAGCGACTCCATCTCTGCTGGGGCTCCAGTGTGGAATCAAAAGTGGGTGCTTGAAGCCTTGGTGCTTCTGCTGCCCTGGCCCCCAAGCTTTCCAGACAGTGGAGAGGACTTCCCGCTGCGGTGGCCATTAGAAACTAAGCGAGCTCCTCCTGCAGCCATAGAAGCTGGGCCTCCTTCTCAGCTCAGGGGCTGCTGAAGCCTGTGTGTCCCAGATGTGGCTCACCTGCAGTGCAGTCCCCTCTGTTGCACACAGGTATAGCCACAGGAGTTAGCTTCCCAGCCCCGCAGAAGCCAAAGACACTTGGCCCACCCCTTGGTTTCCAAACTCGAATGATGTTTTTCTTTCTTACTGGATAACAGCGTGTTTGCTTTGGAAGGAAGGTCTCATGGGGATTTGAACCCCAGTGTGAGGACAGGAGGCAGGAGGGATGGGCAGCCTCCCCTCGGAGGCCCTGCCCAAGAAGGTTGTGCTTTCGCTGCCCAAGGAATGAACCGAAGAACTGTCTTGGGGCAACCATCACAGTGGCTAGTGTGGAAGAGTATCCTGGGATTTTCAAAAACTCATCTGTGTAGTCACAAACTCTCCTCCAAACCTGGGTTTTGAATTAGAGGTGCATGTCTCTGGTTCAGTTTTCAGAGATCATTGCCAAAGGAGGATCAGGGGTGGTCCTAAGAATCTTACTGGGTGCAGGGACTCCTCCCTAGACTGATCCTGAGCCGAAAGCACATAGCAGTGAGCAGATCAGAACTCCAAAAGACACAGAAGCTGCTGCTTTTGTCAACACCCAAGTAAGCAATTCTGCCAGTTCTACTAGATCCTGGGGCCAGAGACCCTTGACAGGCTGGGCATAACCTTGTCCTGAGCCTTCTTGAGAACCAGGGAGGGCTCAGCCCCTAATCCTTGGGGAAATGGAGACTCAGCAAGCAAGGGGCCCTGTTTTAAACTCACTGAATAGAAAGGTTTAAGTTGATGTGTCAGTCAGCAGCCCCCCGCCCCTGTGCCACACATCAAGTAGCAGGACAGT